AAGAGGGTGCTTAGGGAGGAGCATCCTTCCACGCTGACCGGCATAGCCAACCTGGCGTCGACGTACAGGAATCAAGGCCGGTGGAAGGAGGCCGAAGAGCTGGGGGTGCAAGTGATGGAGACGAGCTCGAGGGTGCTTGGGGAGGAGCATCCTTCCACGCTGACCAGCATGGCCAACCTGGCGTCGACGTACAGCAATCAAGGCCGGTGGAAGGAGGCCAAAGAGCTGGAGGTGCAAGTAATGGAGACGTTCAAGAGGGTGCTTGGGGAGGAGCATCCAGACACGCTAACTAGCATGAACAATCTCGCGTTTACATTAAAGGGTCAGGGACTTACAAATAAAGCGATATCACTGATAGAGAACTGCTGCAGGCTGCAGACAGTAGTTTTGGGTCCTCAACATCCCTTTACTATATCATCTCACAAAGCTCTTGCAACATGGCAGTTAGAGGCGATAGAACTTAGTAAGTAGAACAACACCTAGCACTAGATAGGTGTGGCAAACAGATAGTCTCTAAAGCAGCAGGCTAGACGTAGCACAAATACAGCATAGCTAAGTACCGCAGTTCGCTTAGAAATTATGATAAGGTGCAGTCTATGTAAAATAGAACTTCGAGTTGCCACCGCTAGCAGGGAGGATGGCCGAACCGCACCTGCCATAGGGTTGTGAGGTGGCGAGTCAACTAGAGGTGTGTTGGTTAATAGGAAGCTGAGAGACTGAGAGGCAACCTGTAGGCGATCAGACAGCGCGGGGCAGTACGGCAATAAAAGAACATACGCCATAAGCCACATTTATTTTTAGATACTGTTCTAAGGTAGGGATAACGCTTAAATTTGTTACGATCTAATACCGTGTAATGTTAGCAACTTAATATAGTTAGAACGTTCCGTTACGTTAGGAGGCTTTTAACTGTCTTCTTCTCTACCTAGCGAAACTCTTAGTATCTACTTTTTTTAAGGGTATATAACTTTAAATTATAAAATAATGGTCTTTCTTGCTTATGCTTTCTCTGTAGCCCTCTACAATCTTAACGGAGACCTTAATCTATAATTAAATAGAAGGTCGTAGTTAAATGGGCGATTAACAGCATTAAGGAAATAGTTAATAGTATAAGCAACACTACAGAGATCCTTATCGGAGACTAATCCCCCAAGGAACGATAGCTATACATTCGTGCTATATTATTATAGCTATATAGACTTTTGAATGGGAGATTCCGAAGGTCCGAATTACAAAACTGTCTCGCGACGGGCTGCGTCTCGCGACTTAGGGACGGACATTAGCTGATGTGCTGGCGCAAGGGTATTGGGTTTCCATAGTGAACTACAAGTTGTTATAAGAGGAAGGTAGGCCGTGAGAAGGAGTAGTCCGTGGTGGGTTGGGTTGGGTGGGGTTAGGTCGTCGGTCCACTAACGCTGCGTTTTCCTCCACCCACGTCTTATCTTTCAAGTAATTGGATCCCGCATATTACCAATAGAGCATATGTGGGCAATACCATCGAAACTTTGCGAAGTTCATCATTTCTCTCTTCTCGTCCTCTCAGTGACAATGTATCTGTATCAGGGGACTTAGAAAAATGTCGCTGCATTGTGAATCCATCGTTCAAAACCCCGGTCCCACATTGCTTGTGAGATATTCGTGATAGGCCGCAGGTCGCGTCTCCGTCTTCGTCTGAGGACAGTACAGGCGGTGCGATCCCGTTGCTTTGCAGGGCCGGGGCACGAAGTGGGATCGAGTGAGGCCGTAACTGCAGCGGGCTTCGAACATGTCGGTAAGGATGCCTGTGTGTTCGAGATACACGACGCTTGATCAGCTAGGATACTCAGAGCTGGCGACTTGAGGCCGGAAGGATGTTTTGTGTGTTTCTCTTGTGTTTCTGTGGTCTAGCTTTGGTGATGGCTTCTGATGATAGCTGGGTTTCCGAGAAACATATGTATGTGGTTTCATTACCTCATAGCAGATACAAAACTTTGATCTCAGACAATTGTGCGTTATTGCCCTTTGGGGATTTTGTTACTCTCTGCTTGATTTCTGGATGTTAGGGATATCGCTGTCTAGGAATCAGAGGTTGGGAGTTGCGGCTGTGAAATTGGTAATCCTGGTTTTTTTATAAGAGGACGCAGTGATTTGTGCTTTGGTGGCGATTGTGAGCGAGTTGCGGGCGTGGTCTAGGATTTGGAGGATGAGTTATGTAGGAAGGTTCTCCCACAACGTATGGTTGAGATCTTCCATCTCGAACATCTCAAGCCTCTTCAAAATCGCATCATCAAGCCCCCCTCCTTCTCCCATTACTGCGGCAGCAGCAGTCAACGCAGTCGCAATGTTTAGGGAGGCGAAGAGAGGCTAGCGCACCATGGGTTTCGTCGTCTTCGTTGGGGCTGGGGACAAAAGCGCCAGTATCCATGTTGATGGTTCTCGAAGTTACTGTTTCGGAGGGCTGCGATGTTCCAGACTACGGTATAAAAGTGCCGAGAGCACTTGACCCAGCAAATATCTGAGATCGATGCTATGGTGTGGGACTAACCTTCTCTGTACTAGCGCGATCGAGCCACGAGACACTATCACGGCTGCTCCCGCGCCACCCTCTCCTCACTCACTGGCCGGTCACCCATCTGGACGCGCTCACATGGTAGCTACATGTAACCGTCGCACCTATGCGCTTACACCGCCACCAGGCTGCCGTTATCTAGGCCTTCGCTCGTCAGGCCACTTTTCCGACCTGCCGTGTCCTGTTTGGGATGTGCTGTCCTGTGCCGAGGTTCTCACCTCTTTGGGTTATCTTCTCCTAGGATATCCAATCACGCTACGTTATTCTTGATTAGTTATGCCGCCGCTCGCATACTCCTTTTCTGGGCGCTACACACAATTGGTACCTACCGTAGGTACTACGAGGACGCATGAGCGGCACGAGCGGCACAGGAATTTACAAGACCTGTGATACCACGAGGCTTACACTACGGCACTTGGATTCGTATTCGGCTCGCTGCGCCTTTGGGGTGTGCCGAAGAGCTGGGATCTCTTCTACTTCGGAACATTAGCAGAGGAGCGCGGATGGATGCGATCCGGTATGGGAATGCGTGGACCAAAAGCGTGATATTCCAATCACGATGCACCCACATAGCCATTCGATGAGCTAATGGTTTCAGCCTTGCCCAAACCGGAGCCGCTAAACATCCAGCTGACGCTAGGGGTCAACATGTAATCCGTGGAGCCGGGAATACTCGCCTCGAGCGCGCTGGAACTGTATGAGCAGCACTGAAACATGTCGACTGCGGTACGGAGGTACCCCCGATCTATGCAGCCGTGTAAGATTTATTACTCTATTATCCCGTTTTGGCCTTGATCCAGCCCCTGGTCCGAATCCGACCAAGCTGTCTATGAGAAGAGCGATATACCATGTCAAACTCCAGCGACGCTACAATTTCCCGATTGCATAACTTCGCTTCCATCGCGGACAGATATCCTACACTCGGATTCCACTCGGTGAGACCAAAATCGAATAGGCCCAAACACCCAAGGTCGTCCGGAACTCCAATGATCCTTCGTATTCTCCCTCTTCCCGCAACACCTCGACTAGTAATGTATCGGACACTGTCTCCAGGTATCATTCTCATTGCTCAGTGCACGTATTTCTCCATTGTCTCGGTCAGATCCCGCCATGCGATCTCCTCTTTCAGGCGGGCATCTTGCGCTGCTTGTTGCGCCTCCTTTGCGTCTCTAAAGATATCGTCAGCTTCAGTATTAAAGTTGACAGGAAGGTCGGACTCACCTCCATGCCATGTGGATGGCACTCAGTATCAATCTGAGCGGCGACGATGACTTGATGACGGCGTCTGTCATGGCTGACGTGTTCTTGAGTATCGACGCAGGTTGAAGGTATGCGATAGGTGCGAGTTTGAGAGGCGCCTTGATGATGTCCTTGATGATGTGGTAGATGTGAATCGTCGCAGTCGTAATGACGAACGCGTAGATTTGGTAGAGGTAAATTGCCGCAGTGATAATGGACGTGTAGATTTCGTTCATGATTGAAGTCCACAGCGACGGCGTGGTGAGGACATGGTAGAGATAAGTCACCATTGTGACAAGCGAGGCAAAGGCCTGGTTGGTCGGCATCGTGTTCCCTTGAAGTATTGGAAGGATGCTTGGTAGTGGCGTGATGGTGTGACGCTAAACTCTCGTGAGCGACGATAATTGGTTGATGTTTTCGATATTGGCACGAGGCCTTGATATTGTCGGTAGCGTGATTGGTAGGGTGATGCGAAAATGTAGCGAATATGGCTGTGGAAGAGGAGAGAGGGATGGCGGACGTACTCAGGCCTTTATATTAGAGCGGGTCTGATGAGTCAGGATAGGGCTTACGCGCGGCGGGATCAGGGTTACGCGGTAGGTATTCTCCTGTGTGGGCCTCGGTACTGGGCAACGTGGGGCTGTGCTCATGTGGTGACACGTGGGTTTTGGGATTTGTGATAAGGATCGCATGTGCACATTTTGTTATCACATGGGAAGGTATGCTGAAGTTGGGCCTGAATGCTAGGAATAGGATTTGGGTTGAATGAGAATCGTCTACGATATCGTTCGAGGGACGAGCAACTACCCAAGAGAAAAAGGTTCTAGAGTGCGCAGTATTGCCATAGCCACCGGCTTACCGAGGTCGCGACGCCGAAGGAAATAAGTTTCGTTTTCGTACGCTGCATGTGCGCGGCTGCGAGCTAGAAGTAGCGGGGCGCGGAATACCAAGTGCTAGCCGGATAGGTGTGAACATAGCTCTGCCAGTTTCAATTATGCGGTGGCACATACTGAAAGATTAGATTGGTCTAGATGGTAGTCACCAAACCATGCTCAATGGCTTGCACGTTATGCCTCCAGAGTTGTGGAGGACTACGCACCTGAGGAGAAAATATATGGTTATCGACCGGGCTAGCCGCTGCGTGTAGTCTGAATCGACTCTTCGAAGCGTGCTGGAAAGTAATGGTAGTTGAATCAATAACTGAAGAAAGCGTTAGCGCTGGCGAATACGATAGACTGCAGCGTCAACGCTGGACGTACTAAGTATTAAGCATTCACGAAAGATCGATTCTACGCACCTATGCTCTGTTGGTAACTAAGCTACTCGGCTTTCTGCTAGTAGCGACTCTGGAGTGGCCGCTTTCATACTCGAGAAAACTTGGAGGTAGTCCTCCCACGCCTTGTCGTAAGCATCGTTTATTGCGACCGGCTTCAGGCCTTCCCACTCAATAACCTCAATGTCTCGCCGCTCACAGAAACGTGCTCGGTGCACAATGGGCGCGATTTCCCCCAGCGTATTGAAGAGACCAGACAACGAAGTCCTCGCAAATAATACTATTCGCGCCTTGCGATTGGTTCTGGTGATTAAGACCTCAAGGTTTTTCGCCATTCTGCTAAGCATTGTGTCGTCACACAAGAGCTGGATCGACTGCACCTAGTCGCTAGGCTGTAACCCGGTCCGGAAAATATCCGTCTCCAAGAACTTGCCGATGCAGTCGTGATCCGCGGTGCCAAATTGAAAGTAGTGTCTCCTGTAATATCGTTTGACAAGATCCATAACGACGCCTTCCCCAGCATATTCTTGCTTCCACCAGCACCCATATTCACGGTACGATTCCTGCGGGTCATTGAAATAGGAAGTTCGATACTTCCAAGGAGAGAAGCCTGAAGGCTGATTCGCATTCTCACTAGCTTCGTGCACGGATATAATCCGCGGCTTGCGCCCTTCGAGGAGATCGTATACAAGATCACGAAGCTCTTGTGGCAGCTTAGAATAAAATATGGTGCAGAACTTCTGGCACACAATTCTCTCATATTCAATAAGCGCAACGACACATTTCCTTGATTCATTAGGCGCATTTCCGAGTAAAACTTTGATTACAACGTACTCCTTTGCGTTCGCTTCCTCAATCCTCGGCTTAGGAACATCCATGTTCAGCATTCCAGCTCGCTCACATAGATTTATGTACCTTCCGAGTGAGTGATATTTTGCCCGTTCTTCTGGCTGTCGTGCTGGCTGTTGACGAGGTGAACCAGATCGGGGGCAGCAATCGCGCGTCAGCGGCGACTCGAGATGACGATGGGCTAAAACACATGCACAAATTTACGGCATGCCGAAACGGCCTCTTCGGCGATTTCTGGATTCTTTGGACGCTTCACTTCGAGTCTCTGCGTGATGGTGATGGAAAGTTTGGGGCCGTGCGGGGAATACGATTCATTCCTTGGCTAGCGCTAAACGTGCACGGTCCATGGTCCTCACACTAGTCTCTCCTCCGAGGTCTCAACGACGGGTCACGTCGCACAGCTTAATTCGGACCGCCAGTTCTCTCAAGACAACATCCCAAGCCACTCATACTCCCTGCACGCGGAAACATCGCAATAAAGTCGCGCCAAATACAAGTGAGATCCGCTGGTTCTCATGTTCCCTTTCGCGAGGCAGAGAACAAGGAAAGGGTATATGGGAAAATGAAGGATATAGACGTCCTGCTTCCGCACCTGACGAGACACAACAGGGTGTTCTCGAATCAGGTCACTGAATTAGGGTAACAGTGTTTATTTTCTGCTTGAGCGATCGCCCACGCAGCTTGCCATTCCATTCTCCCTTGCTGCATCGTGTAACTTGCAAGGCGTTAGCGTCTTCTTCTGTCTCGCTTCCCTAGGCAGCCGTCAAATCGCTCTTCATATCTGCTGGATCCGCCCACGGCCCACGATCTTAGCATCATCAGCGACTGCAGACGCCATGAGTCTCCTACAGTATCGCCCGGAATTGATTCGGTAAGTATACACACACATACGGACGCACACATGGCGCTCAATGTAACTCTACACAGGAACCACAGAGATCTCGTGAACGGGAAAGCCGATGTCAAATCACTTCGAAATCGCCTCGTGGAACTGTAGAGGAAGAGGGATGAGCTTAACAAGTAAGTGCCATGTCAGCATCATCTGCGCATACCAACACACAATCATAGAAGCCTGAAGAGAATGCCGCTCCCTCTGCTCTGCCATTCTCGCGGTTCTACCCCGCGAAATTCGCGACCAGATCCATCTGGAACTCATCCACCACATTATGGACATGCTTAAAAGCGCTCGTCTAAAGGATGACAGAGGTGTCCGACTTGGATTCGAGGACCAGGATGATGATTACTTTGGCTACGGAGACCCTCGGTACCTCCGCGACTGCGACTACATGAAAATGGAGTTCGTTGGCGATGTGTTCCTCTTCGAGCTCGACAGCGAGCTGTACCGGATTGTTCCGCTTCGTATAGAGTCTGGGGTGCAATTTCCGTTGCTCAAATCTTTCCTCGAAGGTAGCAGTGGGCTGAATGCTCATGACAGGAAGATGGTGCCTGCGGAGCTCATCAAGCGCCTGGAGATCGTGACAATCACTTATGGTCGGTACTTAGCTGCTTCTTCGGCGTGGAGGTCTCAAACACACAAATTGCTGCAGTGCTTGCTGAACAAGGAGTGTATGATAATGTTTTGTCTCGCGAGGGGGACGAGAAGAGTAAAGTGATACTTTCCATACTTGTGTCTGGTATACTAAGGTACCAGAATGCGGGGTTTCAACATCGAAGTCAGGACGAAGGCTGGAACTGTTTCTCTTAATAAGTATTGTGAGACACTTACAGGATGAATCTGTCAAAGATGGGGATTTCTATAGTGCTACTCTTCCAGATAGCATGTTGACGTGTGAAGGATACATACATTGAATAGGCGGTCAAATTTTGAACATGTACTATAGGTCTATTCTTTCCGCAGGAACTGGATCTGTAGAGCGTGTTGCCGGTCTCAAATTGATGCCAGATGTAATCTGAGTTCGACCATTCTCCCAACTTGTTGAATTGCGACGCAAGGGAGGAAACCCATCCTACTGACTGTGTCCAGATATGCGTCGGTGAGACGGACGACTTGCAAGTAATCGAGAGATCCTCCAAAATTTCTCGTTCAGCCAATGCCCGAACCGTCGACCCCCTACTTTATTTTGTCCCAATCAGGTTCTCTCGCTTCCTGGAGCTCATCAGGAAATGCGCCCTCCATCCACTTCAAATCAGCATCCGGATGCGGAAGGTAAGCGTTCCCAGTCCTCTCTTTTAAGATATGTGTGCTCATACTCTCCGGGATCAAATCGAGTTTCCCAAACGCCTTTGATAAATCCGCAATCGGGTCAGTCCGGGGTCGTGCTGTCACTTCCACTGTTACTGCTGCGGCCCAGCCAGGTGGCGCCTCAAGGACCGCCTTGCACTTCTCCACCATCGCCTCTGGATACACTGACTCCGACAGATCGTATTTCTCGAGTACCTTCATGAAGAGCTGCATGCACCAGTCATACGGCACGAGCGCCGGAAATGGATACGCGAACCGAGAGGCGTACAGCGCCTTGTTGCCAATCCATGTGCTGTTTGACTTTTTCACCAGGCCTTGGGCGTCGTGTCGCAAAGCAGCTGGCACATGATTCTCGTTCATACGACGCTTCTGCGGAGCAAACGGCTGTTTCAGGCGAGTTGGGTGCGTATCATATAAGTCTGCTAGCCCATACAGTTCGTCCGCCAAAGCCTCCGCGCGTGTGCGACGCAATTTCCAGTAAAGGTCCATGAAATCTATGAGACCTTCGAGGTCGGTAATTGCGCGGGGATTTTGAAGTATAGCAGTAGACCCGGGTCGGTCCCGCTCGAGATCAAGTACCCACGGTTCGATCATCCGTGTGTAGTCATGGAATGTCGACCGTGTCGTCAAGTATACCCGACCGCCAAGCAACCTCTGCCAGTCGCGAGATAACAAGTCGCAATCGGTCGGTGCTGGAGGCCACCTCCCGTAAGTTCCATGATTTTTCCAATCAGACTTCAGGTAGGAGAGGAAGGGAAAGATGTCTCGAACATGCAACCTATGTCCGTCTCTCGGGAGCCTTAGGTACTTATGGCATCTCATGCTTTGGTTTGGTCGGTAATCTTCAGGAGCTTCTGGAACTGTTTTGTAGAGGCTTCATCCGCGAAGAACTTCTGCCAGGGTGAGAGACTGTTCCGGAGCGACCAGGTGAGACGTGTGCCGGCGAATTGCGACAAGCGGATGAGCTGTTCGAAGTTAAGTTCATCCAGAATGGACTCGTGAAGTTCACAAGGGAGCTTCTCCATACTGCGCGCGACGCGCTCGAAGCGGCGGGAAGGGAACATGTCGTCAATCTTGGGGTTGTGTTGAGGTGGTTGGGGTTGGAGATTGATAGTGATTTATAGGCGAAGGGCTTAAGCCAAATAAGAGAAGGCGCTCTTAA